ATATCTGGAATAATCGTCAATGAAGGTAATGAAGTACTTGTAGCCACTCTCAGAAGGTAAAGTAACAAGGCCCCACACATCAAAATGCACAATGTTAAAAGGAAACTCAGATTTACTATTTCTTTGAGGAAATTGAGTTCTACAATGCTTGCTTAACTGACACGTTTGATAAGAAAAATTAGAAATAGACATTGACTTACACAGTTCTGGGAAAACCAATTTCAAGGTCTCAAAAGACAAATGACCCAGACAACAGTGCCACAAGTACATTTTACTCTTTTTGAACTGACTCAAAGACCCTGTAACATGAAGGCCAGCCGTATTCTCCAGCATGTAGAGTCTATCAACCATACGTCCCCTACCAATCATCCTCCCCGAGGCCAGATCCTGAATCACACAATGGGTAGGGAAAAAAGTCACAGAACAGTTTAAGGAATTTGTAACACTACTGACTGAGAACAAATTCATAGGGAATTTTGGAACATGAAGAACATCAGAAAGAGTAAGGCCGAGGGGAAGAGAGAGAGTTCCTTGACCAGCTATGGAAGTGTATGATCCATYAGCTAGTCTCACTTTATCTCTTCCGGAAAGAGAGTGTTAAGTTTGAAAGTAAGAGGACATACCAGTCATGTATTTTGACGCTCCATAATCGATGATCCATGGAGAGTCAAGGTTGTGTGAAGAGGCATGGAAAGCTGTGGCAGGATTACCTGATGTGGATGCAAAAGAGGTGGTGGGAGCAGCATCCATCTGGCGAATTGCTCTACCATAAAGCTCCAAATGGTCACAGCAGCTGTGTTGGCTATGTGGTGTTTGAGTCACAGTAGAAGTGGAGGACTGATTCTCCCGAGTAACCATATTGGCCATGTGGTGTTTCTTGATACCTTATTGCCCGAGTCTTCTAATTACATCTGATCCTTGCTTCTTAGGTAAAGAGGTGGTGGGAGGAGCATCCTTCTGGCGAATTGCTCTACCATAAAGCTCCAAATGGTCAGGTAAGGAGTTTACAATATCCTCCCTTGGGTCAGATCCAGAGTAGCTATGTTGGCCATGTGATGTTTGAGTCATAGTAGAAGTGGAGGGCTGATTCTCCCGAGTAACCATGTTGGCCATGTGGTGTTTCTTGGTACCTTGTTGCCCAGGCCCTCTAATTACATCTGAGCCTTGCTTCTTAGGAAGATCCTGAGCCCACTTTGGTTTCCCATGGAGATCCCAACAAGTATCTTTGGTGTGCCGGGGCTTCT